GCCCTTTATTGCTGGTCACAGAGGAAAAAAACATAAAACAGATAGCCTCCAGTGAGTGCTCAGCTTGCTCCTCTTTCCACTCGACACCATGCAGGAAAGAGAGTGGAAGAAATGCGCAGGGTGATAACACACAAACTATTATACATAACTTGGACATACCTGGTCACAGAGGAAAAAACATAAAACAGATAGCCTCCAGTGAGTGCTCAGCTCGCTCCTAAACAAAAGCACACAACAAGTTTACCCATGCGACCCAGGGTGGGCGATAAAAGTAAAATAGTCACAAATGGATGGAGCGCTCACCTCTTTCCACTCGACACCATGCAGGAAAGAGAGCGGAAGAGGTGCGCGACCCCTCTTTATACCCGGCTACCAACAAAGAAAAGCATGGCTCAGCTGTGAGCCCTAGTGGAGTGGAGGTATCCCTGACCAGGCATGTGAATTAACTTGCACATGAACCAAAACGTTTTGTGTAATTATTACATCCCGGTTACACTTGATCCACAGTGACTAGCAGAGTAAGTGCAATCCTGAGAGCAGTCCAAAAGTTAGGGTATATCTCTGATAGAGCCTTATTGTGCAGAAAAGTGATGAGCTCAAGGAGGCTTATGGTTTTTGATGGCAGGTGAGGGAAGTTCTTGATTTCCTGCACAAGCTCTCTACTGTCCAAATCAGAGTGCCCTTCAAAGTGCAGTGTTGTGCCTATTGCATTGCATTGCTCTGCCATGTCATGACTCTTTAGATGCTATATTAATCTAATCTAAGGGAGGAACAATTAGCTCCTTGGTTAATCTACTGCCTCGAATTATATGCTTTGTCACATAACAGAGTTATAGCAAATGGCAAATGTTCTCTTTGAAACTACCTACACATAAGTAAATTCCACTGGCTAATTACAGCGGCCAACATTAACCTGAATGATGGAAGCAAATAACTGTACTTGTAACAGTTTTGTTGCAAAGCACAATTTTACTACATAGACTTGTAAGATTTGAGTCTTATAGACTCTAGTTACTTTATCAGCTTTAGTTACTTCTCATGCCTTTAGTTCCCTTTAGTTACCTTTCATAACTTTATCTTACCTGATTACAGCTGTATTGATTATTGTGCAGAACTACTGAGCTCTGGTTATTTTCTAATACATTTATTCTCCTT